GATAATCATTAAAATCCAAAACATAATCACCTAAGATACTACGAAGAGTTCTTAGTTCATTTGATCTATTATCGCTTCTGTAAACACCTTTGAATAGATAAGGCTCTTCAATTGTCTTGCTCAACAGAAAAATACACAAAAGAATGACCGCGTTTTCTAAAGCACGTTTTCGAGATAAAATCTCGTTCACATGACATGAAGTTTGCATTATAAGCATACAAGGTCTCGTATACGCCAGCAAGCATTGCCAGACTACAAAATGGTGGCACCCTGTCGCCGAATGTAAACAAACCTCGCAATTGCATAAACGCTTATCTATGGCATGGAACACCAAAATCCGATAAATAATTTTAAAAAATGTGTTTCTCGAGAAGAAAACCGGAGGTTTTCAGGATTTTTTAGAAATATCAGGTTTTCCGGATATATATCCGGAAGACTTTCATTATTATTAAGTTAACAGAAAATTATAATGAGAAATCATAATTGCAATATATCAATTACTTGAACAGTTGGAATAATCAAAAACAGTAATAACTGGAAACTAATTTTGGTTACTTGATTATTTTTATAACATTAATCAACTTAATAATAATTCTGACCAATCAATTTCATGTAACACTAATCAATGTAATCAAGTTAATTGCCCAAATCTAGTTAATACTGCAGTTACCTTAATCCAATGTGTATCTCAAGTCATATTCATATTTTTGAGTACTAAACCACAAATATTTTAGGTTGTTTTTTTCACAAAATACAATGGGGCACCAGATAATTTTAAACATAAGGCATCTTCTAGCAACACCTGATGAAAAGCGTTTGCAAATTTAACTAACGATCATCAAATATAATAAAATAGTAATGTTTGAACTCAATACTAAGTTTTACATTTTATACAAATGCAAATACTTGAAAACAAAAGTGGGCATATATTTTGTAATTTAAGAAAACTTGGAGTTTTTAACTATCAGAAAAATTTGAAATTAGAACTAACTACTAAAGAAAAAAGGAAAACTGCAAAACTATTTCTTAATAACAATGATTTTTGTTTATATGTTGTTAAGCATAAATCTATACACAATGGGCTATCTGTGCTCTGCCAACTACGGGTATTGAAAACAAATGTTTAGTGTTATAAGCTCTCAGACTTACTGCTGAGCCACAGTGTAGTAATTCTTACTAAATTGTTTGTTTCTCATCACTTGTTCTTAATTTAGATAACCATTCAGAAATATATCTATTTTTGGAAAAAGTTCTTTTACTTTCTTAAAAATATTTAGCATTTCATTGTATAATCCAATCCACTCTTAAAAACTTGGCAAATAGAACCCAATTCCATAATGCAACACCTGGAAAATCATGGTGAGGGTGAAAACAAAATACTTCGTCAGCCAGACTATATTCTTCTGTCTGAAGGACATTACTATTACCAGAATATTTGAAATGTCTGATGCAAAAAATGAAGTACAGGTAATACTAATAATGCAAATTATGTGTGCACCAACAGCAGATTAAAAACAGATTAAACTTAAAATATGTTCTAAAAGATAATTAAATACAAACGTTCTACATGCATTCATGCAAACCATAATCATGCAGCTTTGAATTACAAATGAAAACAGAGAACTAAAAGATACTGAGAGAAGCAAGAGGTCAATAATATCACTAACCTAAGGGCCTTTCCTCTCAGTCTGCTGTTAAAAAAATTAAAATGTATCTTTACTAAAATATATTCATAATTAAATGGCACTGCACTAATATTCAAACAGTATTTCCTACCTTGTGAAACACAATAAGCTTTTTTTATTATATAATCATTTCTCTTCTAATAAATGAGAAAATTAAAAAAAATTATATACCTAATACATTCAATGGTTTAATTTTACATATAACAAAGATTTCATCTTTCTGAGTCAATACCACAGTTCCATGCATAGTTATGACCAGCTCATTATTCTTTACCAATTGTCAAATGGGAATAATCTCAGCTTAAGTTCATTAATATTTAGTATTTTTAACACCATAAAAAAAATTACTGCAGATAGCACATGAAAAAGTGAATATATAATTTTTTTATTGTAAAATTTTACTGAACTAATCAAAACTTCTATGCTAAGTTGTATTGAGGACAATTTTTTTTCACAATATGTTTAGTTTCTTAATCACATGTAATCTAAAATGTTTTTTTACAAAAACATGATTTTCTACTACTGTTTATTATTCACAAATGGTGTTTTGGTGGTATTTTTTAAAAGCTAACTAACCAAATACACTATCTAGATCTTACAAAACATTTTTATTTCAAAATGGTGTTTCCAATGCAATTACAATTCTTTATTCTAATAAAAACACACTAGGTTTTGAAAATATTGTGTGCAACTTACTAGGAGAGCCCAATCTGAATGTTCAGAATTTAAAATCAACAAATACAGCAATGTCAGTTAGTCAAAAACTCAGCATTTGCAGTTAGGTCAGATAAACATACCAAAGCTAACTGAAACATCTTCTATAACAATTATATAGATTAAGAAACAGAGACAGGTACATTACAGTATTTTCTTAGCTCCAAAATTACAGTGGATATTTTTTTCTACACTACCTGTGTGCAGTGAGCATCAACACAGTCTAACTAATGAGATGACAGTAACCCAATATTTTGGCTTTTATGGAACTCTAAACAGTTTTTAAAGACAAAAGGCAAATCACCTTAAAACAATACCACCACATATTTCTATGAACAATAATTAATGGCATACAAGTTTTAAACATACAGAAGTAACAAATATTTATTGAATAAGTTAATTTTTTAAATAGTCTATCCTAACACAAAGAGTAACTCATTTTTCTTGAATATTTCTACTTAATTTCTTCACTACTATAACACTAACCACACAATAAATATACTGTATTTATGTAAATAAACAAACAAAACAAAAAACACTGGACTATAATATACTTCCAGGTAAGCTCTGTTTCAAGAATACAAATAAACTTTTGATTGTTGAAATGCTAGATAACAGCATACATGAAGACCAGATTTTGTGAACAAGCATTTTTACAATTAGTTTCTAAACCAACACAAGCTAAAGAATTTCAATTAAAATTCTTACAAATTTCACAATAAACATGTAAGTTTGTCAACATGACAACAGCAGGGGATAATAGCTATTTCAAATAACAAAGCAAATTTCTCTAGGATATTCAAATTATTATTATTATTATTATTATATATGTTTAGTTCTATCTGAAACATTACAGGTTAAGCCTTGATTCCTTCTATGGAATTGGATGCAAAATATTACTCAAGAACTCATGATTCTTTTGTAGTATCATTAGACGTTTATGCTTTATTTTTTAACAATTCACTCTAAGTATTACACAGTTCTTTTCTTGTTAACTTCCTTGAACACAATTTCATCTTTTAATGTTTTAAAATCTATATCCCAACTAAGCAAACTTTATACTACATGAATACATTCACACTCTATATTACATAACAATTTAAAACTACATTTTTGTTAGATATACACAACTTTAAGTTTAATACAAGAGTTACGATTTAGGTAGTCTATATAGCATGGATGTCATACTTAGTTATTTTTAGAAGCAATATTTTAAGGTAAGTTTGTTTACATAATTGTTTACAGCTCATACATTGTGTAGTTCAATTGTTATGAATTAGCTATTGTTTACAATAGTGAGATTATTGCATCATGTTGTTAGAACTTTCCGAGTTCCTCGTTAGTTTAATTGAATATTATTGGATCAGAATAACTATTATTGTGTGGAATGTTCTAGACTTCTGTCAGGATATAATTATGCATCAAAATATCATTTAGTTCTAGTTCTAGACTGTGTGATTGTGAGTCTAGCGATAAAGTGTATAATTTTCATTTTTAAAGTGACATTATCACACACTGTATTGTAATAACAGAGTAGAGAAGAATAATTTATCTTGTTAATTGCATTCTAAAGTAACTGAACCAGCCTTTGTGAACTTTGATGAAAAAAGAGAAAATTTGTTAGAGCTTTGGATACAACTTTGATAACCAACAGCATAACAAACATTTTTATGTACATTTGATTTGTTTTAAATATGTTATTTTAAAACAAGCAGATGGTGTTGATGTTTGTTTATAGGAGAAATTTATTACCAACAAGTCACGGACACCTACTGTAAAAAATCCAGCCTTACAAAACCTGACAATTTTCCATTAGCTTAAAAACTTAGGTGATTTCCCAATCACGTAGTCCAGGATTGTCATATTGAAAATTTCTTGAAATAATAAAGGTTCAGAGATGAAGAATTTCAGATACTATGAAAACAGACTGGTTCCATACTAGCTTGGTTCTGCTACTAAATAATTTTTATGATAGTATTAGTATGTGTCAAGAAAGTTGTGAGTGTTGGGTAACCCTTCAAAACAATTCTGAAATCCAAGTAATAGTGTAGAAAATAAGATTATAGAATACTTAACAACACTCTGCAAAATTCTGAGATTATAACATCAGTTGGATTATACAATAGCATGGACCAATGTTTTCCAATAGCTCTGAGATCAAGAAGAGCTGTGCAGAAAATAATTACAGAAGCACTGGATATTATTTTGTAATAAATCTGAAAACAAGAAACTGTGCAGTAAGGGATAACAGAATACTATGCATTCATTTTGTGACATTCTGAAACTAAGAAAGATATGCAAAAGGAGAATTACAGAGTACTAAGTAATATAAAAAAGTAATTCTGAGATCAAAGGAAATATGGGCAAGGCAAATTATTAAGTACTGTGTAAAATTTTGTAATCAAACTCAAGAACAAAAAATCTGTGTATTAGAAAAGCATTTCTTCATACAACTGAGGCTGAGATGTTTAGAAAGAAATTTCAGAGCACTTAGTATGTTTTTATATGAATAGAAAATCCTATAAAAATGGGAAATATAAAGCATATAGGAATATTTTGTGCAGGAAAAGAACTGTGGTAGCTAATAACTAGCATTTTGATAACTTTTGTAATATTAGCAATCAACAGAGAAATATTTATAGCAACTAGTTAGGTATTATCATAACTCAGACCTAAAGTAATATGTAGAAAGGAATTAAAGTACTAAATAAACACCTGCAGACAGAACTAAGTAAGATTTTAAATGAATTCTGACAAGAAAAGGCCTGTGCAGAACAGGATTAAGCAGTTGCCTAACATTCAGAGTTACTTATGAGAACAAGACTGCTGACAAGAAAATACATTTCAGAGACACAGTAACGTTCCATAACAGCACCAAGACCACCAGAACTTAGTTTAAAAAAAAAAGGAATTATAAAAGCATTTAATATCAAGTTGTAATAATCATAAAAAAAGAGAGTTATGTACAAGAAGGATTATAAAACAATGAGCCACTATCTTATGATTTTTGAGACCACAAAGAGTTTAATTATAGAAATGTTAAGGATAGTGCACTGTCATGTGAATTAGAATTTTTCTTAAGTAAAATCTGAAATGGGCAAAATTCGTTTATGGTAAAACATTTTAATCAAATAAACTAATGCATCTCAAATGCACTAACCTCAGGTTCCATTTCACTACTTATTACTGATGGAACTTTGATATGACTTTAGCTAAGCCAATTGGCATGTAAATCTTCAATTTTAAACATTGTAATTATAAGAAAGCACAATGGTCTATATGATGAGAATTTTGCCCATTCTCTTATTTATTTTTTACTTACATACATTGTGTGCACCTTTTCTCATAAGTTAACAACCACAAAAATGTTCAGTAAATGTCATTCAACCTTTCTCATAAGTTACCCATAAAAATGTCACATTTTTACACACTGTGAATACAAAATTAATATCCCATCAATGATTGCTACAATATCCTGAACACTTCCAGATATAGAAACTAGTCTTTTGAGCAACATTCCTTATGCCATTGGAGTCTCAGGAACCCCTTTACTGCAGCAGTGTACTCCTACACAAAACAGGCAATACCAGGATAGCATAGGTTGGTGACTCTAACATAATGAATCCAGAATAAATTTGGGAGTGAATCTCTGCAAACAAGAGATGATCCACTTCAATATTGATCCACACATTATACAGTCCAGCATCAAAGAGATGTTCTTGTGGTATGTATAACATCTCATGTTTCACCTGGTGTACACTCAGTGTTAGAGGACACACACATTCTTCAGACATCCATAGAAGGTTCAAAGTAATATCACCTCTTTCAATAGTTTTCTTTCATGCTAAACCTTCAGATTCTATAGTATGTTGGGGATGCTCATGCTGTTTCTCCAGTTCCAGTAAGTATCAGTTTCTGTGTTTTGTGTAAGAGCAGACCAACAGCAGTTGCAAAGACCCCTAAAAAGTTTCTCATAATCTCATCTAACAGGTATTTACATGGTGCTAACAACCATGTTCAGAAAATTCTGCTATTTTATGTGACCCAATACTATTTCTACAACTCAATGCACATTTGTGACAAGCTATTAAAGGTTGGACTTCCATGCAGATGCTGGCTACTCTTCTGCAAAAACTATTGCCATTTGGACTTTCACATCTAGTTCATTAAGAAGTTTCAGTATATCCCTAAACCCTCCATCCATAATGGACATATAACATGTTGTTGTATGTGATTAGTAACTGCTGCATTATTATTATTTTGTTTATCAGCAAGATATGGTACCAAGGGCTATTTTAAACACAATGTACCAATCACTGGATAGAGCCATCACTGGCTTGACAAGTAGCCCATCAAAAAAAAATCCTATCTATTCTGCAACAGGAAAGGTATGGTTAATCCTTAGTGGCCGATATATCCAAATCCAAGATAAAATAATAATAAAATTGCTCACCAAAGCAGAACTAGCCAGTTGTGTTTTTTTCTTGATAGTAAATCCAGACAGGTCCATAAAGAATTTTACATGAATATTCCTCAGAGGTGGAACTCCATAAAGCAGGTCATCAAATTGGTCAGTCCAGACAGAATAAAGTATTCTATAAATGTTAGTCCACATCATCTTTTTCTGCTACTGTAAATTTGTTCTCCAAAAATATCAATCATAGTCACTCTGTCACAAGTGGTATGCTCTTTCATATTTGCATTAATCACCTGCTGTGTACTGGCTACAAACTGTTTTCTGTGAAGGTAACTTTTCCAGCATCTGCCTCAAGCAAAAAGGATGGTGATACCATATAATACATAACAAATACTTGGGTTTGTGGTTCAATTAGTACAAAAAATTAGATGAATATATTTTGAGCAAGTAACATATTTTTCATAATTTCTACTTGGTGTTCATTGTTTATGTTTCAAATAATACAACAATCAGCTGAGTACATTTGGGCACATAACACATTTGGTGTAACTAAAAGGCATACCACACTCATGCAAAATTTTATCATTCCACCTTCATTAATCACACAAAAAATAGGTTTCCCAAGTTCCTTAAAATTATTTGAAATCAAGCTTTCACACTATCAAAGCAGTTATCTTTAGTTTATTGAATAAATGTATTTTTATCTTAATTAGCCTGTAATTAGTTTTGTTGTTGATAAATAACAGTGGCACCAGATTTTTAAATATAGGCCTACAGTTTCATACACTTTTAACCTCAATTTCTTCTCCAAAAAAAAAAAAAAAGATTTAATAAAGTTTCTTGAACAAACCAAAAATACAAAACATGTTACAAGAAATCTGCAGTAATAAATGTTTTTTTGTTCTTTTTTAATATAATAAATATTATATGAATCTCGGTAACTAGCAGTTAAAACCAATTTTGTATCACAAAATTAGTACTATTAAAAGATTAAAATAAAAAATTGGTGTATATAAGTGTTTTACACTCACAAAAAAGAAACCTATCATTCTATAGGTATTTGAAGAACTTGTAGCATTTCGCTACAATCTAACTCTTCGTATTGTTAGCCGACACTGGGCAGCTTGTACATAATTGAATAAAAAAGTTGTTTAAACATTTGTTTAACCTGGTGGTAGTGTCCAGGGTCACTGATGAGGAGTGGAATTCTCTGAAACTAGTCTGGCTCACAGACACACCCCCAATGAAAGAATAGACCATTCCAAGTTTTTAGTTGTTGTTAAACAAATGTTTAAACAACTTTATTTATTCAAAAATAAAAAAATTCTGTTAATTCCAATTTACACTTATTTTTCTAGGTTTAGTTCTTAAATTTTCAGCCCAGACAAACCACTGTAATAAAACACATACATGAATGAAATCAATCTATTGACTGCCCTATTTTTTTTTAATTTATAAAATCTGATAATTAAACACAAGCTAGTTCAGAAAAACAATTTACTTAATCTAGTAAAATGTTTGGTATTAAAAGTCAGATTCGGGTTGGCAAGATCTGAGAATTTAAGATATATATATATATAAACCCATATTAGATAAATACTTATTCTGTTACACTCCCAAGTAGTCTATTTGTGATCAAATAAAACACAAAAGTATTTACACTGAAATGAAACTGTACATCTCATACTTTTTATCACATTTAACAACATTGCTCATCATACCTTTACTAACTATTTTCTAGTAGCATTTTGGTCCTGTCTTCTACAGGCAAGAAAAAAAAATGAAACATCAAACACTGAAACAAATGCCTCTTTTGTACATTACAATAAAACTTACTTTGTGGGAAGTTTGTAGAGATATCCTTTACCTCCATCACTCCATATTATCACTCTATCAGCAGAAAGAAATTCTCCTCCTGTCCAACGTTCCCCTCTTCGATTATCACATGAACACAATAACGAGAAGTCACCAGCATCATAGATCTAATAGGAAAAAATACAGAGACAGCAACAATAGTTTTAAAGTATTTATTGCCAGAACCCATAAAAAATGATGTACTATACACAATGTCTGAAGGTTATCTTTGAACAATAAGTTGGCAAATGATACTGAAATATGAATAATGATTTTATCAGGTTATAAAATATCATTACAACATTACTACCTCATATACTGATGAATTTTGTTCAACAGAATTATATAAATCTTTTGTCAAACTGTTTCTACAAAAGATCAAATCTCAGGCTAGCTTTCTTCACATAAAAGTCACTGTGATATAATAATTATATCTGCAAAACATTTCAGATTTTATGACAAAGTTATATAGTTGAATTTTCAATGATTTTTCAATTACATATTTGAAATTTAGTTGCAAAATCATATGCTAACATAAAATACTAAAATATTTTTTCAAAAATATTATAATTTAGTTCTTGGGAAAATAATTTTTCATCAACTTCCAAACAATTTGATTTTCAATTTTGATAATTTGTTTGTAAAATATTACTATGTAAAGTAATCACTAAACTGTGCCATGTTTGCCCAACACTGAGCATTTTTGAATGTTTCAAAAAACCATTATAATAATATTTAACATAACTATTGTTATCTCATAATTATCAGCAATAATTTATTTATTTTAAAAGATTAATACTATAAAATTCATACAGGTACTGGTGTTACAAAACCAAATTAATATCAGTCATAGCTGGCCATTTTCAATATAAGCTATTAAGACATTAGGTTTGAAAACTTTAATGGGCTGCAATTTTCAATGGCTTGAAATAAAAAGAGACATTGTGAGTACTTGTGTAGTGTCTTATAAGCAAGGCTGTGTGATAAACCTCAGGCTGCATGGATGTGGTGATTGGAGGGTGTCATCTGTAGGATATCATCGTATTACATGTAGAGTTTGCTGAGTGGTAGTCCACAGGTTGTTGATGTGCATACTATTGTTGCTGTTGAGTTCAGGTTTGTGTAGTCTGATGCAGATAGCTTCTTTGACTTTTCTTTCTTTCCACTGGTGAGCTTTGTCTAGAATTCTATGTTGATCCTAGTTTATATGTCCTGTTTTCTAGTCATGTTCAGCAAATGCCAATTTTTCTGGATGTGTTAGTTTGCTTGCATTTTTATGTGCTTTTAATCTTTGTTTTATCATCCAACGAGTTTTTCCAATGAAAATGTTGCCACAAAGACATGGTACTTTGAAAACGCATTATTTTTGTTTAGACTTGTTGGCGAGTTGTTTCGCTTTAGTAAGGATGTTACTATGTTCATTGATAACTTACTGGTAGTATTAAGTAATTTAATGAGTATTATAGAAAGTTTAACTGAAGAACAGTTACCTTACCTGCTCAGATTGAGAAATTTAGTAATTTTAACAGTGAAACTTTTCAAGATACCTTCAGTAATTTTTGATGTAGCCGAGTATCTTGATATATTGCATTAAAATGTTGTTTGTGTATGAATCTCAGTCTCTAGTAAATTATTTATTCTAACTGTAAACTTCCTCGAGTTATTGACTTGTGTGCTCCACTCAGGACTGCAAACCTGGATTTTAAGTACGTCTATTGTTAAATGCATTAAGTCAAACTCCAAATGACTAGTTCACACAGCATCCACGTTTACAACATTGGTGTTCCTTTATTTCCATTTTAGCTCAGTTTCTACTAACCTTCATTGCCAACACAAGTGCTTTGTCTCTGTAGTCATACATTGTACATTTTACTGTATAATCATGGTTTCTTCAAACAAGACATCTTCAAGCCAAGGAGCAAAACCAAAAAAAGTTGTGTGAACAATTAACTTTTTTGCTACAAGTAGGGGTCAAAAGACATGTCATCACACTTGTAGACTTACTTTCAAAATTTTATTAAATTACTATTTTATCAATAAGTTTGGTATGAAATTGTAGAACAGATACCTACACTTCCAGTCCTATCATCCACCCTCGATAAAACGTGATATAATCCAGTGCATAAACAAGAGAGCAGAAAACATATGCGATAACACATCCATCGAAACAGAATGCCAAAACATCATACAGTGTTTTAAACAAAATGGTTACACCTCTTCCTTCATCAAGAACTCCCTGAAGAAGACCACAACAGAAAAGAAAAATAAAGAAACCACTACCACTACAATGATATACCTCCCATACCTGAAAAATGTCAGTGAAAAACTCAAACGAAAAGCTAAGAAATTCAATATAGATGTCTGGTGGAAATCTTACAAAACACTAAGATCCATTCTGATGAAGAACAAACAGAAACCTACCAACAAAAAACAGAAAAACGTCTTTTATGAAATTCCATGTTCCTGCAACAAAACATACATTGGAGAAACTAGAAGAAGACTCGCAACAAGAATAAAGGAACATAAAGACAGAACAAGACTCATGAAAACACAATATTAAACCTTTGCAAAATGCACCATTTCAACTGGACACAAAATATACTTGGAAAAAACTATAATCATCAACGCAGACAAATTTTGGAAGAAAAGAAAAAATCAAGATTTCTTTTACATTAACACAATAAAACCTTCACTAAACAGCGATTCGGGATTAGAGGTGAGTAAACTGTGGCTATCATTGGTTGAGGCTACAGGAAGTCTCTCCTCCAATCAGAAATGTGTTTTAACCAATCAATCATAACACGCTCTCCACAATTCACTAGAACACTACAAAGACCAAACTCCACCACACACACACACACTGACCTGAAGACAAAAGGCAGAAGACTTACAAAACTTCGTCCTCTACATTTGTAGGTTTCTACAACAGGCAGTTACTCTCCATTTGAAACTTAGATTCATTATGAATACTCTGCCTAAACAACCTATCAAAGATTATATAAAGAGCTGTTATGGACCAGCAACAACTACAACAAGAACTACTCTCCTCAATACTCCAAAGATAAAGAAAGTTCTCGACAATACCAGCAGGAACCTCCTAAGATTATATATAGAAGAACATAGACGAAAAAAGCACCATCTAACCAAGAAAACTGAAACACAACATGCTGAGCTTCAACAACTTTTCACCCCAGACACTAGAGCAAAAGTCCAAAAGTTCAACAAACTGACCAAGACAGATACCCCTACAACTACAAACATAGTACACAATTACTAAGTGATGCTGAAAACAAGATCCTTAACCTAGGCTTAAACTGTGTCATACATCCTAGCACAGTTTCAGCAGTTGACATAGCTGCAATTTCAGAATCTGCTGCACAAAACCTCCTGAAACCCATGGCTGAACAATTGCGACTTCAAACTTACACCATCCTCAGGAATGCAAAGAAACCAAAACCTAGCAGCACCAAACAGGAATACAACGCACTGAACTGTCTAAGATGGGATGACACTAACAAGATTCTAACAGCAGACAAAGGAAATAGTATAGTCATCTTAGACGTCAAAGATTACGACTCGAAGATCAAGCAGTTACAAGACAAACACCAATACAAAAAGACAGAAATACTCATCAACAGAACACTGAACAAACTTAGGAAACAAATCTTAATCAATGAGAAACTAGCCAAAGACTTAAGAACCAACAAGAATTTCCCCCCTCAATTCTATGGACTACCTAAAGTACACAACCTAATATACCTTTAAGGCCTATCGTCAGTGCTATAAACTCACCTTGCCATCAACTAGCAACATTCCTGGTGCCTGTTTTATCTCCACTATGAGGGAATACTGAATATCACATTCACAACTCAACAGATTTCATAGAACAACTCAAAAAGCCACAGATCAGATCTCAGGATATTCTAGTCACAGACCTATTTACCAATGTTCCGACCTCGAGAAACCCTTTGTATCACCAGACAACGACTGCTGAATGACAAATCTCTACCACATAAAACCGACATGAAGATAGACGCCATCATGGAACTAACGACTATTTGCCTACAATCAACTTATTTCCAATACAGCGAGGAATTCTACAAACAAACAGATGGCCTAGCCAAGGGATCACCACTCTCTCCAATCTTAGCAGACATTTTCATGGAAGAGTCTGAAGAAAGAGCCCTCTCATCCACACATATAAAACCAAATTTCTACAGACGTGATGTTGACAACACTTTTGTTATCTGTCCCCACGGTCGTGAAAACCTAACAGCCTTCTTACAACACCTTAATTCCATAGACAAGAATATTCACTTCACCATGGAAATAGATGAACAAAATAAGTTATCATTTCTTGACATACTGATCAGCAGACAAAAGGGAAAAATCACCACAACTGTATACAGAAAACCCACCCACACGAACATATACCTACACTTCCAGTCATATCATCCAAACTTGATAAAACGTGGTATAATCCAGTGCATAAACAAAAGAGCAGAAAACATATGCGATAACACATCCTTCGAAACAGAATGCCAAAACATCATACAGTTTTAAACAAAATGGTTACACCTCTTCCTTCATCAAGAACTCCCTGAAGAAGACCACAACAGAAAAGAAAAATAAAGAAACCACTACCACTACAATGATATACCTCCCATACCTGAAAAATGTCAGTGAAGAACTCAAACGAAAAGCTAAGAAATTCAATATAGATGTCTGGTGGAAATCTTACAAAACACTAAGATCCATTCTGATGAAGAACAAACAGAAACCTACCAACAAAAAACAGAAAAACGTCATTTATGAAATTCCATGTTCCTGCAACAAAACATACATTGGAGAAACTGGAAGAAGACTCGCAACAAGAATAAAGGAACATAAAGACAGAACAAGACTCATGAAAACACAAAATTAAACCTTTGCAAAATGCACCATTTCAACTGGACACAAAATATACTTGGAAAAAAACTATAATCATCGACACAGACAAATTTTGGAAGACAAGAAAAATTAAAGATTCCTTTTACATTAACACAATAAAACCTTCACTAAACAGCGATTCGGGATTAGAGGTGAGTAAACTGTGGCTACCATTAGTTGAGGCTACAGGAAGTATCTCCTCCAATCAGAAACATGTTTTAACCAACCAATCATAACAGCTCTCCACAATTCACTAGAACACTATAAAGACCAAACTACACCACACACACACACTGACCTAATGACGAAAGGCGGAAGACTTTCAAAACGTCGTCCTCTATATTTGTAGGTTTCTACAACAGGCAGTTGCTGTCCATTTGAAACTTAGATTCATTCATTCCTTCACTTCACTATTTTATCATAGCATCTCTTCTACAATATGGCAACCTTTCCTAACTGCTAATACACAAATTCATGTGATTAACTAATGCATACCTCACATACTCCATACATTTTTGTAGATCCTTTGTCAGAGAACTGTATTTCTTGGAGAAACACAATCATGTTTTTCAAACAACCAACTGACATACAGTAGGTGTTTATTACAGTCAGTTCTACTGGGGATAACAAACTTTACTAACATCCATCAATGTTCTGCATTACCCATTCTGCCAAACCTTCAGACCAGAGTAATAAAGCGAAATACTCCCCTTCACTGTAACCAACAGCTCACACAACTCAGTAGATTAGTGGCTATTGAAATATGTCCTCTGGATGATATGGATTTGTCCAGAACTCTAAACCGTAACATCCAATATTCAGCCAAACATTATGAAATCACTGTATTAACCATGTCAATGCATTTGTTGACTCGCATTCAAAATTTTATTCAACTACTACTTTATGAATTTATATCAATAAGTTTAGTATCAAATTGTAGACTATAATTCAAATTTTAGTACAATACATTAGTTAATTTCTTAATTTAAACGTAAATATTAAAAAAAACACCCCTAAATGTATCAATTTCTGTGTCACGTGATACGTTGAATACAGCCTTGTTCAAATTCAATGTTTGTGATGTTTAAATACAAAGTCTATAGTTTCTTATGAATTAAAAACTCAAATTACTGATATTGAAAAGCCAGAATATAAAATAAGAACCTCTTATCTTTTCTAATTGCTGAGATATTGCTACATTTACTGACTCTAACATAGTGGCCACACACACCTCTTTCCATTTTTAGAAACATTTGTTCACGTACACCTACTTCTTACTATGACGTGTGAATAACCAATCATAATACAATACCCTTAAAAGCAACAATGCATGACTTGACCCCTGCACTAAGAACAAGACGTTTAATGTATCAGATTATATATCTTACAGTTTATATTAGAAAAATTCACCAGAGTAATCACACTACGCTTAGAATCAGTGAAAACATTTATGTCGACAACAGGATGGGGAATTTATTGGCTTATATATGTATCCTACACTGTTTACAATAAGAATTCTCCAGAATAATAACACTGCACATCTCTCAAAATGGTTATTATATGGTTCAGTGCCAATACAATAAATATCATGTTTGGAATTTAGTGGCATACGTGTACAGAGATGTTATCTGAGCACACGCTTATAAAATCCTATTTCCCTTTTCAGCACACTTATTCATCAACCAAGAAAAACACAGATTCCAGTACTACCTATCACACTTGTTTAGTTTTGGTTTCAGTTTCACAAGCATTCTAAGTCTAGTTTTCTTTAGAAAGCATTCCGACTTTATGCAGCTGATGTGTAGTAAACTGCTGCCCTCGATGTTGTACAATACCTTCTTGAGCAGTTTCTGACTCTTAATTCGAAGTAAGTAAACTTTGTTTATAAGATATATACAGAATCTCTGTTCAATAAGTTCAGTATATAGTTGTTGAACTAAGTCCAATGTAGCTGTTTCTGTATTTTAGCATGTCATGTATTGCTTCTGAAATCTATGAAACACATCACACTAAGTCACAGATTATATTACAATATACATTTTTTTTTCTCCAGTAAACTGCTTTGTTCAGAAGTTCCTCTTTCTTGGAGCTGTAAAACACCTTCTTGAGTTGTTACTGATCTTACTTCGAAGTAAGTAACCATAATTTATATTATATATATAGAACTTGTTTTCAATAAATTCAGTATGCATTTGTTAATCTATATCCAGTGTAGCTGTTTTTATATTTTAGAGCACTATGTATTTTTATACATAAAGTAAATAAACACATCAGAGAATATATGTAATATACATGTAATGTTTATTTATTCTAGAAATGAAATCTAGCAGATAACTCAAAAAATAAAGCAAAAGAGCTGAAGAAAAAAACCCAGTAAGAAAGAGATCCACTTTCTTATAAATGTGTCACTCTCATCTGATGAAGAAGGCATTCTGTTAGATAAACATAATGTTGAGAACATTTCTGATAATGTTTCAATGCCTCTGACAGAATCTCTCTACAAAACCAGATGGCCAAAAATTTAGAACCAGTTCTTCTTGAGTCTGTCTTGTGGACAGATCAGGAAGCAGCTGGGGAAAGATCTTCATCAGATGAGGATGTTGTGGAACAACTCAGGTCATTTAAGTCAAGGGAACCTGAACCACCACCACAGAGAAGAGGCACAACTAGGAGGAGTAGTGGAAAAGGTAGAGCTACAGTGTCTACTAGGACTGCTCCTTCCCAGCAGGAGAGGTCTCTCACCTGCAGTGACACTTAGATTTGGGTGCAGATAAAAAAAAGAGGAGCCTCTCCGTGTACTTCCATTCATCAGCAGTGAACCTGTGTTTGCCAGGTCACCACTACAAACAAAGTTATTGATTTCTTTAAACTTTTGTTCACTATTGAAATTACAAATCATACTATTAGTGAAACAAGTCAGTATGCATAGTCTAAACAGCCACTGCACGAATATGAACCTCCAAGGAAAAAAAAAACAGTAAAATGGACTGATGGGACTTGTGAAGATATTTTGGATTAACAATAGCTATGGAACTCAAGCCTTATCCTTCTCTTTCTGACTACTGGTCTACCTATCTTCCATCTCATACTCCTTGGTTCTCTAACATCTTCTCTTGGGAAAGGTTTCTAACTATCCATACTAACTTATATTTCAATATTAATACTAATGCTCTTCCTAGGACTTATCCTAACTATGACAAACTTTATAAGGTTAAACCTCTCATAGACTGTCTAATAAAATCTTTTGTTTCCCACTACTTTCCTAACAAGGAACTAACTATAGATTAGGAAATGTAAGGGACAAAATGTAGAATTGGTTTTCTCCAGAATTTAACAATGAAACCTGTCAAGTGGAGTATCAAGTTCTGAGTCCTGGCAGAAGCTGTGAGTGGATAATGTCTAAAGTTTAAAAACTACACAAGCATAGAGGAACAAAATCCAGCTAGAGGTTTAGCAGACAATGTTGTGATGGAACTGATGGACTAATACAACAGACTAGGATACTGGGTTTTTATGGACAACTTTTACGCTTCCCTTCGTTTATTTGACAAAATACTGACTATGGGAACTTATGCTTGTGGGACATGCAGGAAAAATAGACTGTACTTCCCACAACAACTGGTTTCTACAAACCTACAGAAAGGGGAAGCACGATTTTCTTTAAATGTTGAACTCCGACAGCTGTGAAGTGGACTGACAAGTTTATGAGAGGAGTGGACCTGAATGACTAACACTTAAGTCACTATTCTACTGGATGAAGGACATTAAAATGGTATAAAAAACTGAACAGAGTTGTTTAAACATTTGTTTAAAAACAAGTAAAAGCTTGGAATGGTCTATTCTTTTACTGGGGGTGTGTCTTGAGCCAGACTAGTTTTGGAGAATTCCACTCCTCATCAGTATGTATAAGCACAACAAGCAATAATAACTTTTAATTAGATACTAGAACTTTATAATCTTACCTGCCAATATTTTGTACAAACAATCAACACAGTTCTTTGGTTATAAGCACAGCATGTTAACTTTAATGCATTTAGACATCGAATTGGCTTGGATTCATCCTCAAACACAGGTTCTGAAATCTAATGGATAAATTTGGTTATTCATTAACAGTAACTGAGAAAAAGATTATTTTTAATTACAGTAATTAAGAAGTTACACTATTAAGTTTAAACTTATTCACAGCTATTTAAGGTATTTCCTAAAAGACACAACCTTAAGTTATATAAAAGAAGAATATCAAATGTTACAGTACACAGCTAAAGTAATAACACATAACAAGCCAAAAGTCATCACCATATATGAATTGATAAAAAGTACCGAATCATTTTCAAAATCATCATAATTAACTCCATTTGATTTTTACATTACCTCAATATAAACTTAAAAGCATTTGAAGCAAAAAAAACAAAAAAACTCTGCAATCATGACACAAGTTTTTACCTAAAAAAATACTTATAGAAAATGCTGCAAAACCTGAAATATATTAAAACAGTTATTACAGCAGATTAATGACAAACATCTAGATAAAAATTTGCTTATATGTGCAACATTTTGGGTGATTACCCTTCATCATGCTGAAAAAAATATAAAAAAAATACAAATTACGTATACAAATGTAAACTGTTTGTTTCTTTGTTTAGAGCAAAGTCACATTGGGCTATCTGCTGTGTCCATTGCAGAAAAAAAACAACAAAAAATTTTAGCATTGTAAGTCCACAAACTTACCAGTGACCCACCGGGGAACACAAATATAACTGAAAAATATAATGAAGAAATTAACCTCTTACCTAACAGGGCCATTTTGTCTTATGGTGAGGGCAAAATCACATTTGTGAATTGAAAAAATTAAAGAGAACTTATCTTTTATTGGATTTCAGATTTTATTTTGTAAAAAGTAGCATAACATTCAATTATTTGTCCTAAATTCTAATATTTAATGAAGTTGAATAAAAAAAAAACTCCCAAAATACATTTGAGACTATAAACAAGCACCCTCTAAGAATAAAATGTTTGTCAACTAATTTTTTTCCTTGCACTTTAGCAGTGATCTGGCCATCTATGATTGGTATCTAAACCTTTTTCTAGTCTGTTTTCTTTATAAAACAGCATCTGGGCGTGTTAAACCTTTAGCCAATCCTTGTCAAAGGTGTCAATTTCAGTACCATGTTATTCCAATCATTGTATTTCACATTTGACAAAACACAGGATGATAATCAAAGTACATGACAAAACACTGTTTTCTGAATTCTACAATATGAAAGTGAGTGGTGCTCATTATAGTAACTGTCATCTAGTAGAGGTTGTATTTAGTAGTGGTCAATAGTACTTTTTTTTATAAGCTTAACAAAACTTGCTTACTTAAAAAAACTGCATGGGATGTATGTGATTTTTATTATTTTTCTATAGTAGCTTAAGTCATGCTCAATCATATATCTATTTATATTAATCATTATATTGAAAAATTAATTCAAAAGATGTATATATTTTGGAAAGAAGTTGATCCACAAATGTTACTGTTAAGATCTATCGAATGGCAAGTGCATGGTCTTTACGTGAATTAGGCTTAGCACTTTGAACTGAAAGAGTTTGTGATTTTTATATTCTTTTGCATATAAATTAGTAGTTTTAAGTTTAATAATTTAGTGCAATTTTATATTTAGTTCATAATAAAAATATGACTCAGTATTTAGAATGATAACCTTGCGTGATATTTACATATGTAAGAATTATATATTTTTCCTTCTTACTATCTTTACTTTGTAGTAAGCCTCACACTTCTGTTGTTGTTGCTTTATAATTGAAACAGTCTAAATGATATATAAAAAGCTTATTCTGACAGTTCTAGTGTCAATACACTGAAGACCTTAAGTTTCAAATTCCAATATAAATCTTGCCTATAATAAGAGGAATGTGACCAGGACTATTGACTATGTGACTTTTGAGTGAGGTAAAGTAATTTTCTTTGTAATTTATGGTGTCTGTATTCTTTGGTAATCTCTTGCAACAGGATGTATCATGTAACTAGGGTCAGGCATTGTTATTCAAACCACCTGTACTGTAAACTATTTCATTCACTAGTAGTGGAAATTAGTTTTGTCTGTATAGTGAAACAACATACAAGGATATATGTTGAAATAAACTTGTTTGAAAGCTCAAAAAAATGATATTCAAGTACCAATAAGCTTTCTTACAATCATATCTACAGTAATGTTCAAATGCACCTGCGCTGGTCTGAACAAGAGTAACAGACATGATAGTTTACAGCAAATGAATGAAGTTCACACTGCTAACCTCAAGGTTTTTTGGCACAATTAACAAAAGTATGGCTGCAATGAAAAATAAACTTTAAATAAAAATACATTTATGAAACAAAATTAAATTTTTTTTTTTATTGTACATATACAAATATGAAATCCTTATTAAAATAAAAAAAATACTCGTTTATTGTTTAGGTTTACTTAGAATTATTTTTGGGTATTCTATATTACTTGAAACCCTAAGGAGAGTACATGATTATTAAAAAATCAAAAATAGACAAAATTTGCATTTTATGGATGATAAAAAGCTTTTAGAGATTTTAAAATAATGTACTAAAACATAAAAAATTAAGAAGTTCAAATCTGGAAAAAATATAAATATTGTAATTATTTCTTACAAGTACCATTTCCTAATGTAATTTTCAAAGATATTAAAGATTATAATGCAAAAAAAAACTAAATTTATCAAAATTAACAAGTTTTATGTTCCTTAAACCACATGCATTTATGAAAGTTCTTACGAAGTTTCAAACAATTTCATCCACTAGTTTTACTATTGGAACAAAATACAGCAAGACTTGCATTGGCTGCATTGAAAGTTAGTTATCGGGTTAAAATAACACATGGCGTGAATACAAAAATGAGGTATTTGAAACAAAACTATTATATTAATGTGTCATGACACAAAAGTGCAATAACAGAAACTATAACACTGAGAAAAACACATAGTAAAAAAAAAACAAATTATTCTGGTGAAAAAGTATATAACAAAATGAGGTTGTAGCGACAAATAACTCATAATCAGTTTTGATGAGTCAATCCAAGTGGAAGGTGACTTTAATGTTAAGATTAAAAATTATTTTCATTTTAAAGTTTTCAAATTTCATTTATATAATCTCTAGAACCTCCTAAATAAATATCAAAAGTCTTCTTTCAGTAAAGTATATTTTATTTTCTCTGCTTTAACAATGTATGCAGGCTCAGTACATTTGACCAAACTTGTAACTACAACAAAAATTATAAATTTAAATCCCTCTTTTTTATTTCTAGAATGACTGTATAACGTGACAGACAATTACACACTATATATTGCTAAGGCCAAAGCTAATACAGTTCAAATCTCACAGTCATTTAGATTTATTGCTTTACTGCATCCACGATTAGCACCAAAGCAAGTTGTCACTGTGGGAAAGCTTTGCGTTACCAGCATGCTTGGTCAAATTAAAGTGCACTCACATGAAATGTGATCATTCTATAAAGTAATTTTTTATTAATTTTTTCATTCAAGTTTACTTATCTAACCAAATAAAATTCTAATTTTTGCACTTCAGTTAGTTTTATAACAATAAATAGATATACATAAACAAACAAAAAATTTTGTATTTATGTGTGGCCTGGAAATTTTTGCTCTCAAATTTTCAATAAAAGTTTGCCTTATTTTGTTTTGCAGGGGTGTTGTTAGTAACTTACTTAAGTTTTATTTATTTCAACTAAGAAACTTGGAAACCAAAATATTAAAAGTCAACCAAAAAATAATGCCCTAAAACTATTATAACTTAACTGGATTTCTAACTAAACTATTTAAAATATTATCCTTACATGGTCAGGGAGATCTCAGCAATAGTAAAAAATAACAGGTTTTTCTTCATGTTCAAGCATGTTTCAGTTTTTCAGGTCAAATCTTAATACTCAAAATCAGAGATAGAAAAGGCTGTTGTATTTGCCATTGTTACATATTACAGTTTATCCCGCATGAGTCTCCAATTTATTACGTAACATATTATAATTTCAAATAGCCTGAAACTGAGTTAAATAATATTTTAGATTTAGAAATTAAATAAATGTCAATATGTATCCAATTTATGATACTTGCTAACAACATTGATAAACACAATTTTTCTCAATACAAATATATATTTTAATATACAAACAATAACACAATTTACAATAACAATTTTTACAAATAATGATTTATGCAAAAAAGTTTTACAAAAATACAAACAAAATTTAGTCCTCTATCTGGTCTGTAACTTCCTTGATATTTTATTGAAGGTTCACAATGAATAAATTCATTTTGTGTGGATTTATCTTCCAAAATATTCCTTATACCTGGTACTATACGTGAATATCTTTACTTCACAGTGACACTTTTTATAGTCCATGGCACAGATGCCAATAAATACCTCTCAGGACTTGCAACCTTCTTGGACAACAGTTTTATTATCAAATATTATAACTTTTATTATTACCACTATGGTAATAACAAAGAATGGAATGAGAAAACTACAAAGTTTCCATACAAATAGTCATACAACTACAACCTCCTATTTGTGATAACTAACCACTAAAAAAAAAACAATGACAACAAAACATTTAGTAAAATCAAAATTATAGTTGTACACACAGGAAGTAACTTTCTGTACTGCCAAACACTCAAGCAACTATTATCAGCAACTCAAACATCACAAACTAAACTTCAAACATTAAAAGCTGTCTCTCTTTGTCCAATCAACCTTTTTATACTTTCTGATGCTTCTCAATCCTTTCGGGGAAAACTGGAAATTGTCATGGTTGTAATATTTAATGAGATGACATTGCTGTGTCATCTGATGCAATACACGCCAAGCTGTTGTAACTTATTATCAGTACATTACCATTACAATCATTGAGGTAAAATATAATAACCACTACATAAAATATACACTATAGTGTAAAAGTAGCTATTTTTTCAAATAAAAAGCCTTGAAAATACTTTAAGGTTCCATTCTTCACAAATAAAAAACAAGATAAAACTAGTACCTTAGCATCAATTCCTGAAAGCGTCCAAACTTTGACAGTCCCTGAAGCTGACAAAGCAACCACCACATCATCTGTAGAAAAACAGAATAATCAGTAAGAAGTTAAGTTTAATGCAAAATATAAAAAAAATTATATTAACATGTAACTCTGTTAAAGAATGGAATGAGAAAACTACAAAGTTTTCCATACAAATAGTCATACAACTGTAAACTGTTGAAGAATGGAATGAGAAAACTACAAAGTTTTCCATACAAATAGTCATACAACTGTAAACTGTTGAAGAATGGAATGAGAAAACTACAAAGTTTTCCACACAAATAGTCATACAACTGTAAACTGTTGAAGAATGGAATGAGAAAACTACAAAGTTTTCCATACAAATAGTCATACAACTGTAACCTGTTAAAGAATGGAATGAGAAAACTACAAAGTTTTCCACACAAATAGTCATACAACTGTAACCTGTTGAAGAATGGAATGAGAAAACTACAAAGTTTTCCATACAAATAGTCATACAACTGTAAACTGTTGAAGAATGGAATGAGAAAACTACAAAGTTTTCCATACAAATAGTCATACAACTGTAACCTGTTGAAGAATGGAATGAGAAAACTACAAAGTTTTCCATACAAGTAGTCATACAACTACAACCTGTTAAAGAATGGAATGAGAAAACTACAAAGTTTTCCGTACAAATAGTCATACAACTACAACCTGTTGAAGAATGGAATGAGAAAACTACAAAGTTTTCCATACAAGTAGTCATACAACTACAACCTGTTAAAGAATGGAATGAGAAAACTACAAAGTTTTCCGTACAAATAGTCATACAACTACAACCTGTTAAAGAATGGAATGAGAAAACTACAACCTCCTATTTGTGATAACTAACCACTAAAAAAAACAAAAAACAATGACAACAAAACATTTAGTAAAATCAAAGTTAAAAATCAAACAAGTAAAAGAACTGACAGTACAAAAAAATCATTCATAATAAACTTTACAGTAACTAATGCACTGGATAGTTTGCTCCAAATATATAGCAATTACAAAGGGTTGATCAAAGGCATGCTCCCTGTACATTTTCCCATTCTACTACTCATTTTATTACAACACGTTCATTTTCAGCCCAACTGAAGATGTCAAAGTTTTGCCACCAGCACCAAAATTTTTAGCATGTTCAAAAATCTGCCAAAATTTGAAATTTTGTAATTAATACCATTTTTATTTTATGAGAAGTTGGTTTGCTTTTTATTGGATTTATAATTCTTATTGCGGATGTTTGAATGTAATAATTAAATTTTGAACATATAATTTGAATTCACTGCCACAGACTGGCCAGTTTTGAGGAAAGATCAGGATACATGGTAAATGAGGAAACCTGCACCTGAACTTTCAGCTTCCAGAATTCCTACAAAGAGAGATGTTATTCTATTTAAAAGATGGACCAATGCAGCATGAAAAAAGAAGTGAACTTTAATGATGCAACTGAAGACAGAGTCACACTTGAAATTCAAAACCAATGGGACAAAGCAAGAGTAGCTACTCAACAAAAAGACAAAGTCAAAGCTAAGATTTTGAATCTGTATGATGATTATAAGACACTGCAGAAGAGGAAAAGGTGTAAATCAAATGATACGAAGGGAAAACTGTTTGTTGAAGAACTACAAAACTACTTTTTCGTTGCACACAAAATGCTTAGAAGAAAGCACAAAATGCCCAATTCCAAAATCAGGAACAGAACAAGATGTCTTTAGGGTCAGAAGACAAAGCATACAGCAAGAAAAAAAAATAAAATGATGAAAAAAAAATTCTTATTTGATGAGAAATAGGTCTGAAGAACAAAGAGAGCAACTGTCAGTATAAATCCAGAAAATCCCAAGACAGTAAGTTCTACAGACAGTCCAGATACACAGTCTGAATATGATGATTTTGAATGCCCATCTGACTCTGGTGCTAAGCCTAAGATCATTACATCCACAAGAAAAGGAATTGATACTTTGAAGCTTCCAAGCAATCCATTCAAAAGTCGAGAAATTTCAACAATGGCCGATTACTTAAATATATCTGCAGGCTAAAGAACAGCATGCATGGATGCAATAATTTCATAAAGTAGGACTGATTCAGATAATATGACTTTTTCTAAATCGAGTACAAGGTGTGAAACAAAAAAATTCAAACATTGCTACAATACACTGGGACAGAAAAATTGTTCTAGGAGATGAGGAGAGGCTAGAAGTTCTTATAGCAGGAATGCCACACCTGGTGTTCTAGTGATTCCAAACAGAACTGGTACAACCCAGACTAACATAAGCCACGCTCTTGCACTCCATTGGAAAGATAACATTTTCTTACACTAAAAATGTATTTCCAATAGGTACTTACCTCCATACACATAAAGTTATCTCAATCTTTCTGCCCCTTAAGCATTACTAAAACATTTTAACACCTAGTGCACCAGTCTATGTACCCCACAAATTTCGTGCCACTTTTGAACATGTATGTAACATGTGACCACCCTCCACCAATAGTACTGCACCACCTATATTGGCACAGCTAGCTCCTTCTGATTCTCCCACTCAATCCTCACTTTTAAGAACTGGCAGGATCTAAAATGAATAAAACCAACATTGGGTAGGAAGGGTGGGAAGTATGTGAGAGGAGGAAAGTATCCATCAGAAATACATTTTCAGTGTAAGAAAATGTTAACTTCCGATACAGTCTAACTTCTGATCACACAAAGCTAGAATCCCATTTTGGAAGGGTGAAGAAGCTTGCGTAAGTGCCTAACAATGAAAGCAAGCAGAAAATGACTGCCTAGAAATAACTGGTGGACTCGGATACGAAACCAAATCACACATGCGTGACACTGCACTACTTCTGGAACAGGTATGCTCTTTGTCCAATAAGAAGGAAATTAACCTGATATGGGTGAAAAAAAAAGGATGTGCATAAGCTTAATTCATTCTGAGAGGCATTATCCATGTTAAACAAACAGCATGAATTTGAATCATTCTCCATTGCACAAACCAGACAAAAAAACAGCCCACTTTCATAAGTTAAGAGCCACTCTATGAAACAAATACTTGAAGCGAGCTCAATATCCACATGAGGAGAAACAGCAATCCAAGAGACAGTTTGCCAAAATATAACCCTGGAGAAAAACATCTAGATCTGGCTAAGTATCTACCCAGCCTCAGACAAGGTTCCACAAACCATCCTCAGCATTTGAAAATTGAGGATCATCCAGATAAAAAAGAAATTAGAACCATCCCCAACTGTAAGTAAACAGAAAACCAGACCAACTCCCAAAATGACCATAGGAGCAAGAAATACAACAAATCAAACCCAGCATTACTAGGTTTTGTCATTGCTTCAACTCAAGGACTATTAACTCAAATTTAAAAGAATTCCATTCACTAGTTTCATTTTTGTGAAGAACTTTCACGAGAGTTGCATACCTACTTACATGTAAGTAGGTCGTAGTGAAAGTGTTAAAAGGAGTATCTTTGCATAGGAAGTGGGAATAAGCATCCAGGGGAAAGGGAAGGAGTGAACCCAGCTTTGCCCTCTTCTCACTGAGTGGATAAATGTCTGGTTGTAAGATAACTTTCTATTTAACTCAGGAGGAAGCTTTGGTCTATAACTGCAATGACTGGAAACTGGTAAATGGTAAGGACTCCCATGCTCCACTTGGAGAAAAGGGAGAGTTAATGTGGTGGGGAGTCAGTAGGAATGTCACACTGGAAAAAAGTACAATGGGTGTCCACGATTCCCTATTTGGAAATGCAGACTGTCTCTGATTTATGCAATCAAAGGGTCAGCAGGAATGGGCAAAAATCTCCTCTTGCTTTACTCATGATAGTCCATGAGTGATGGTCCACCATTGAGTTAAACTTACAGATACCTAGATACACATAAGTATATACCACAGGCATGTCACTAGTGGTCTTGCAGAACACCCCATCTCTACAGTGAATGTTATAGCTCTATACTGCAGCTTTAAGTGAAAGTACACCTGACCAAGCAACACCACATAGTGAGATCCTATTAGTAGTGGTAAGAGAGGGTCTCTGAAAAGAAAACATAAATGAAATGTTGTGAAAAGGCATGTCAAAGGCAAATGGATATGACTTGAATTGTGACAGGAGGGAGACGATATCCACTTGAGAAAAACACAGCTAGATAGTATAGATAATGAGTGACAAAGGAATAGGGAGTAGTCCACATTCCAGCCTGAACAATTTCGTTCAATGAACAAGAAAGACGGCCAGCCAAAGACATGGTGATATGACAAATTTGATGAGAAAAATGTTCAAGAGACAGTGACCTTCCACAAATAAGTCTGAATACACCAACCTAAACAGTTGACAAACCCAACCAGTTAGTGTGACAGGATACAGATCATGGAAGGGTTCCAGGGAATAAAAGGTCAAGAATGTAAACCCCAAGTACATGTCACATAACACCTTAGGGAGTGAACCTGACAAAGAAGCCAACTGAGATTGAAATGGGAACACAGATGTGTGATTGAAGGTAAAAAAATGGGTGTGAAAGCCAAATGGAGTTCCCAGGTAACAGAGGTCTTAGAGAAGAAGGATCAGACTGGATATATGAATGCATAAGAGGAATGGTAGAGGTTTCTGGTAACATTAATAGCATAAATATCTGGTTGACAATGTTTGCAAACTAGGAGACATGTAATATATCACATACCTTATTAACCAGCTGTAAAAATAAAAAGGTGTGTAAGGTGAGATATCCTATAAAGTGTGATAGTCCTAAAAATGAAGGTGCCAGAAAAAATGAATCCAATTTTCTTCTCCTTGATTTTATTCATCCTCAGAAACATTAGCAAGGTTGAAAATGAGAAGAAATTGCCAGCCAAACCTAGGAATTTAGCTCCCTGCAAATTAAGGCCTGTACCTCTTCAGCAGATGAGAGTCAAACCAGATGCTTCGGTAATCGTACCAGAAGCATTGTCTACCATAACGGGAACTTCCGCTATCAATACATTGAATCACGAAGTCATTCTAAGTTACTGTATAAATCGATAACAATAAACAAATGC